CGCGCCATCGTGGACGGGTTCGTGGCCATCCCGGAGGGCTGTCTGTCTTTTGGTTTTCTGTCTGTTCCAGGTGCAGACGCCAGGGAGCTGAGGACAGAGATGCTGCGTGCTGCTGTTCCGTGGACCCCGGATGCCGTGTGTGTGCTCACCCCGAGCAATAACCTCACTGCCAGCAGGACCATCAGTGAGGCGGCGTTGGACTTCGGTGCGCTCCTGACCACCCTCTGCAGCCGCTAGCCCAAGGTGTGTTTTATGTATTTATTTATTTGTTTTTCCTTTTTTTGTTATTGCAGTCACTGTTATCAGTATTTATTTGGTAGTTGTGAGCAGACGGTTGTGTTATGTGCTTGTTTAAGGGAATTAATGAAAAAATGGTTGTTTCTAGGTCTTTGTGTTGGACTTCCCTCCCCGTCTAACCATGGACCTTAGCTTCCAAGAGCAGCTGCGTCAGGAATACCACAGTGTAGCAGCAAGCATGGGTAAATTACATTTGTGGTCATCAGTTATAATTGATGTAATGTGTAATTCAACAGAATTTATACAAGTGTAAATATTAGAAGGATTGATTATGTTTTTATGTTTCTGTTATGTGTGTCAAGTCTCCCCTACGTGTCTGTGACGGCGCACTTCCCAGTCCATCGGTTGGAGCTGTGGTGACATGATGGCGTAAGTAAAGGATACTTTGTTGGTGTGATATAAGACGTGGTGGAGTTTCATGTTTTTGGAGTGACATGTTGGTTGTGTTAAACTGTCTTTCAGGTGCACCTCAGCGACTCCGATGGCATGCCCATCCTGGTGCAGCTGCTGTGGAACGTGGCCTACCTCCAGCTGGCACCCCTTCCGCCCGCGCCCCCGGTGTCTCCCTGGAGATCGCCGGGTGGCCGGGTGTCCCCCACTCTGGTCGTGACGGGGCACGTTCCTGTGCCGCGTCACAGTGACCCCTGCGAGTGGGCAGTGGTTGGACGGCAGGGCAAGGTAATGTGTTGCTTCAAGGCAATTTGTGGCTTAAAGTTGTGTAAAGTTTTTTGTCCAAAAATGAAATTTAACCAACTCTGTTGTTTTTTTGTTTTGTAAGGCTGGAACATCTCCGGTGGGACAGTCTGTCATCCCGTCCAACCCTGTGTGGTTCAGCAGTGGCATATTGGACGCCATGGAGAAGGTTTCCCCTTCTTCTGGCTCTGGCTGCCCTGCTGATCTGCCAGCCGGCCAGGTAAGCTGTTTACACATTGCGTCAACACTGTAGAGGTCAAAACAGGTGGACAGTTTTTATAGGGGTTTGTTTTCCTTCCTACAGACCTTCCGTGTGAAGCGTCAGCCGAAAGGTGTTGCCACAATGCGCAGAGGACGAAAGCAGGTGGGTGGGGTTTTTTGGGGGTTTTTTTTAGGATGTTGATGTGGATTTTTTTTTTATATTTCTAAAACATATGCCGTGACAAAGTGAGTGCTGCGTTTTAATAGTTTTTGATTTTTATTCTGGCTTGATAGGTTCCAGCAACACCTCTGCCTGCCCCTGTGACCAAGTCTGCCTCCAAGCCCGGCCCAGCAGTCCAGGAGGTGTGTTTCATTTTAAATATAATGTCACTTATTGATGATTTTTAGGAAGCAGTAACATGTCGTCTTTTGTCGTATTATTTAGTAAAACCTCATATTTTGTTTTTGTGCCAGTTGCAGGTCACAGCCCAGCCGTCCGTGGAGGTGGTGGAGGAGGTTGCTGCAGCGTGCCTTGCCATGCCGATGGAGTCCGCCGTCCAGGAGGGAACCCGGATGCCACAGAGGATCGACACAGATAAGGATGATTTTGTTCCTTTTGTTAGTGTTCCTGATGTTAGTGCAGTTGTGTCAGAGTCAGACAGTCATGTTGTGGCAGCAGAGGGTAACAGAGGGTTTAGGCTGGGGAAGGTAGTGAGGGGAACGTTTCACCAGGGAGATGAGCGGTTTGTGTATCGAGGGCGGCAGTGTATGGCTATAGCTTTGGCCAGCTTAGCCAAACACACATTGTTGAGTGTGTTCTCGTGGGATAGGTTTGCTGTTGATCGCGCGTTGGTTGTAGGTGACGAGTTGTACACTAGTTTGCTTGACCTTAACATTTTTAGCCACGAATCAAATCTGCTGTCTGTTGGAGATTTGCCAAAGCAGTTTGAGGTAGGGGAGCAGTTGTTTAGCTTTAGCCATGGTGACACAGTGTTGGGTGAAGTAGGCGT